AAGGTTGACTCAGCCTTCCATCCTTCCGCGGTGGGTACCATGAGGACGCGGGTTGTTGGGGGCAATATGCTGACTCTGTGAACCGCTTAGAGAGGGCTGAAAGCCCTATGAAGCGGTATATAAGTCTAACTGCTATTGCTAATAGGGGAGAGGTGTGTTTGCAGCCTTGAGCTGTTTGCAAAAGTAATAAAGTTGGTATAAAAATAACTAAACAAAGTACATGAGAAATTGTAATATAGTACTGGAGACTTTTGTTAAGCTATTGTGTTTTCCCGAAAATAAGACAATATCTTATTTTCTTTTTACCTCTGAAATAAATGCTTAGCCTTATTATTTTGGAGCTGCAGGAGACAGCGAGTGTGGTTGCCTCGTGGCTGCTTCTGTGTTGCAATATTTTTTGGGGGAGGGAGGGCTTATATTCAGGGGAGGGCTTATTTTAGCGCATGTGCTCAAAAGCTCAATTGGACTTATTATCTGGGGAGGTCTGATTTTGGGGGAAACAGGGTATTTCTGGATTCCAGCTCACTCACTTGGCCTTCCTGCCATGCTCGCTTTCTGTGAAGAGTTTCATAGCAAATGCATTTATAAAAAGGGGAAGAGATGGGTTGAGCTCATTTTCTGGGCGCAAGCTAAAAGAAATAGGAGTGAGAGACCACTATCCAATTCCATTTCTTTTCTCAAGGTGGGGAATTCCTGCTGAGATACGCACGAGTGGCTCCACCTTCCCAGAAATGTGCCTTTGTCCTGACCCGTGATGGCCGGCCTGTGAAAATCCAGCGTACCATTTTTAGCGAGTGTTTTTATGTTCTTGGGTTGGATGAACTTGGTCGAGCTACAGGGGAATCTCATTATCAGGTCAGACTGCGAGAGCTGAAAATCAAAGTTCCTGTCCCTTTCTTAAAACTGTTTCCCATTTGGCTTCCTTCAGTGCTCTTGGCTTGCTTTTAGCGATCAGGTCTCTGGTTGGGGCTAGTGAAAATTGGCTCCATTATAATCTAATATATCTGGAGGGAGCCAGTTTGGGAAAGGCTGCTGGAGAACTTCAAACTTGTTTATTCTACTTTGCTCCGTTTAGCTTTCCTTTCCTGAAACCAGGCACAACAACTAATGCATATAAATAAAGTGGTATAAATTGGGTGGGCCCGCTTTACCTCATGATGCTGCAGTTAGAGATGGTCTTCCTGTCTCTATGGATACGAGGGTTCTACTGATAGAATCTGGGAAAGATGATCCACAATGATCTCTATGGGAAATGGCCTGTCAGAAGACTGGAATCGTGGCACGACAAAACCGCGCTCATCAAAATCGCGGTGGTAAAATCGTGGCGCTAAAGCCGCGACATCATCACCGCGCATCATCACCGCCGCGACAACAGCGCGGCAACAGAAGGGCGCATTA